ACAGCCGGGTTCTCAGCCCACATATCCACCTGTCCACACAAACACACAGCTGGACAGACTGCGTGGACTGAGTTGGGGCGTCAGTCGGCTGCCCTCCGAGCCACGCGCTCGACGCACTGTCTTCGTCTCAGATTCCGACCACACATGCAGCAAGGGAACCGCACGGTGAAGGGGCCGAGGCGCACACTTCCCACTTGCGTAGAAGGTGGCAATTGGGTGCTTGCGGTGGGTGATGTTGATGTGCGGCGAAATGCTGGTGAGGAAGGATGTGATGGTGTGATGCAGCCGGCGGTTGTCTACCGCAGGTTTTCATGGACGCGCATGTGGTCTAATAGACCCATGCAGTGCATGGATGTGCGAGGGCAGTGTGGACAGTGGAGGCGGATGCGGCGGGTGTAGGTTGGTGCTCCAGGCATTGTTTCACCATTCTCTGTGCGATGGAGAGAGCAGTCAACCTTAGTTGGGGGCGTGGGAGGCGAAGGAGAGGTGGATGGAGAGATGACTATTGGTACAATCCGCGTGCTGCCGTTGGTCCGGAGGTGTCCAACCAGTCTGGTTGACGCCCTGAATGTCCGTCGACATCGTGGGTACGTTGCAGGTGGTTGGCGTTGGCATTGTGAGGCGGCGGCAGTTGAGATTTGCGTGTCTCGCGTTTGGCCTTGGCGGCGGTGATGCGGTTGGCTTTGAGGATGGCTGCGCCTATATTCGCTGTTCTCCTCCACATAGGTCTGTCCCGGACGAGGTCTTCCCAGTTTGCCGGGTTGATCTGCAGGCGCTTCAAGGAGGTCTTTATAGTGTCCTTGTAGCGCCGGACTCGACCTCCCTGTCGGTGTGAACCCGTCGCGACATCTCCATAGAAGAGTACTGCGGGTAGCCGCTCGTCGTTCATCCACACGAGGAAATCAGGCGGGCTGCTTCATCGTCGATTTTGGTGCTGCGGTAGAGGGTGCCGCCCAGATATGTGAAGTTGTCCACCACTTGCAGGTGGGTTCCGTTCACGCTGACTTACGGCGCATTGTGGGCAGTGTTGGGTGGCGGTTGGTGCATGACGACCGTTTTCTCCGTGTTGATGATCAGGCCGAAGTTCTCGCGGGGGGCGGAGAAGATATCCATGCTCTTTTGCATGTGTCCTTCAGTAGTTGCATTGAGAGCGCAGTCATCGGCGAACAGAAGTTCGTGGACGGTGGTTGTGGATACACGCGACTGGAAGTGCAGATTGAGGAGGTGACCGTCCGTTCTATAGGCGACGCGGATCCTGGGGCTTTCGTCACCGTAGGCGTCTATCAGTATGACAGAGGACATGAGACTGAAGAGGGTGGGCGCGAGGACGCAGCCCTTCTTCACCCCGCTGGTCAGTGAGAGTGCCTCTGAGACAGCTCCATTGTCCGTAACTCGCGCCATCATGCCATCGTGGAGCTGAAGCAGCATCCGATAGAATCGTTCCGGACAACCGGACTTCTGCATGATTTTCCACAGCCCTTCTCGATTCACCGTGCCGAAGGATTTTGCCAAATCCAGGAGGGTAGAGTAGGGGTGGGTTCGCATCTCCTGACACTTCTCCTGCAGTTGGCGGGCGGCGAAGATCATGTCGGTGGTACCACGATGACGACGGAAGCCGCACTGACTTTTCGGCAGGAGATCCTGTTCCAGATGGTTGTTCAGGCGGTTGCGAAAAATGCGAGCGAACATCTTCCCAGTGATGTGCAGCAGGGAAATGCCTCGGTGGGTGTCGCAGATTTGGCGGTTCCCTTTCCGCTTGTAGAGGTGAACGATTGTGGCGTCCCTGAAATCCTGCGGAATCCTCCTTGACGCCACATCTCCTGGAAAAGCGCAGTCAGATAATCCACCGTGCTTGTAAATCTCAGCGGGGATCGCATCCGATCCGGGCCCTTTACTGCTGGGAAGCTGCTGCACGGTCCTGATGGTTTCGTGTAGAAAGGGTGGGAGGTCGAGGTCGACGTTGGTCTCCAATTGAGGCAGACGGGCGATGGCGGTGTCGGAGATGGTGGAGGGACGGTTGAGGACGCCTCTGAAGTGCTCGGCCCATCGCTGCCAGTAAATGGACGCTGGTCGTAGTCTTCACCTGCAAGCAAGCGAGCGACCTACTACGTCCATCGCGTGGACCCACCGCTGGACACCCCTGCACCCCATACAGACACGACAGTTCGACCGTCGTTTTCGACGATTTCCACCGTGTGCTCCGCAGCGTGCTGGGAGCAGGCACGTTGACTTGCGCCTAAGTTAGTTTATAGTGATAGTAGACTTGCGAAGCATCTACCGCACACTCATCCCTCACCCGGGTCGGGTGTCAAGACATAGTCAAGAAGACCGGAGGTAGAGAGGGAGCAGGTGGACGGCACGGTCGAGCCCGCACCCTGGGGCTCCACTCCCCTTTATCCACGCAGAAAATGACGAGATTTTTGACCAACAACGACAAGCGGGGGTGGCAGGGGTCCCAGTGTGCGCGGCGTCCGCCGGCAACCTAGTCTGCTATCGCACCCCGAAATGCTGGCATTTGTTATGGTGGCAATCCGATATGGCCCCTCTGTTGGTCCAGCGTATCTACCACGTGGCCGGTTTGGGGGTGCGAGGTGCGCATTTACGGCAGTGGCCAGGGCCTTAATTGGACTAACGCTTTTCATGGATCAATATGGCCTTCGTTTCAGTGTCCCGCTGTTGCGGCACAGTTCGATTAGAATGGGGACAAATCATGGCCACCACCATTAGCATTGCCCACTTTATCATCTTCACCACCACCAGCATATCCAGGATCGGAGTCACCCTTATGGACGGAGCGTGAACGACGTCGTCGCCCCAGCCGATTTTACGCATAGAGTTTCCACAGACTTTAAAGGGTATATGGTAACCGATCAAAATCATGAAACACTGGGCGAGTGGACCCATTAAACGAGATTACAGTACTGGCTATCATAGAACAGATTCTCAGGGCGCTTGCATACGCGCTAGGGTATTGGCCCTTGGGCGGCCGTCTGTTCAGTCAGTTGCGAAAATCACGCTCGATAAAAATGTCCGCTTATATAATGTACACCTTTCTCATTGATTTTCAATGACTGCATGACATCAGTATCATCTTATTGATGGAACACGCATAGAATTTACTTCTGCATCCGTCTTGTAATATTTGTTTTTTGGGACATACAGTAGGTGGACTAACCCATGAAATCAGATCAGATCATCGGACTAATGTCAGACTAAAAGTATTGCCCAAACACAAGGGCTAGTGAATACGCCGTTGATTTTTTCACCTCATGCAAGCCCGAGTCTATACCACTTTTGTAGGTCATTAGCCGCCTAAACGCCCTCTTCCACTTTAGAGGCTTTATTTGTAAACGCACAGGGCAGTATTTATTTTCTCTATAAGGACAATCTTCAGCCACTAGGAGAACATGGACTTGATTGCAGTGAGAAAATATTGCCCAGCATCATCCTGAACTGCCTCCCAATTCCCAAGAGTAGACCATTCCAACCGGAGGAATGACTAAGCACAGTGATTCGCTGGGCACATTGCTTCTATCTAGCCGAGCCAGGACGCCCCGCTGCCCTCATCCGGACGCGTTCATTCGTCTCCGCGTTCTCGGTACCCTCCCACATTAACTGGCATCTATTGAATCCTGGCTTGAATAGGCATATCCCCGAAGAAAAAGCAATCACGAATGGATGCGGGTGTTCGAGTCCCAGGTGTTTGTATGAGTAAGAAAAGGAAGTCCAGTCGAGCACTATAACAGTTCGTTTTCTATTCCGAGATTAAGAACTCGTTCAGGAGTCCATTGTCAAAGGTAGTAGCAACAACAAAACGAGATATTTATAGAGGGCAGCGAATTATCACAAGCGGCTGCCCCCACTTACGAAACGAGCCGCCGTCAAGAGAATCTCCCACACCAGAAGCATGACAAGTCGAGAACTGATTAAAGCCTGGGCCTCGGAGGGGAAGTCAGTCAGTCGATGCGTCGATTTGATGCCGGCATACAGAGACCTGTGCGATCAACCCCAGGCTTGCGTCATTGGTCGAGGATTGGCTTGTGCGCCCTATAACTGTGGCTTGTTCTGTTACTCCTACTACGTCTGAAGATAGACTTCTACACAGTTCAAAAGCTCAGAACAATAAACGAATTGTGCCAGTGCTCCGCCAGACTTTCTCTTCTTTTCTTAAAAAGTAATCAGTATGGTTGCGATCTGCCACTTATCAACCGAAGTGAATGCTAGTGTAATGTCACTACACACGTTTAAACTCCAAAGGGCTGCAAATCGGAGCCGGATGTCAGGAGGCTCAGTGACCGGTCGTCTCCGTCTGTGCTACCTGTCAAATAATAATTACTCATTGCCAAGCCACCGCTTTCCAGGGTTTTAGATCGGAGCACCCACACTTCCTTTTTACAATCAGGATAGACGGGGAGACGCGAGTACTGCGCAACTTTGTGTATTCTCAGTCGCATTTTGCGAAGCGCGTGTCCGTGATAGAAGCCCCTGGCTCAGTGACCCACTACTGTGGTGTCTTTGTTTATCGGCGTGACTTCATTCTCGGGAGGACGTGCGCCGGAGTCGGTTATTGTGTGAGTGTGTGAATCATTTTCTTAGTATTCGACCGAACGAAATGACACTTTACACTTTACCCTGTTTTTCTTAACCCCTTTGAAAACCCGATCAACGGGATAAATTGCCAGTACTTTTTTCCCGTGATAATGGCGGCACTCTCTGTCTCTCAGGATAACATTCGCGTCATTGTGTCGCCGGCCGCCAGAGGAATGATGGGTCACCTACGGCAGATGTTTCATTATCTCCTCTCGCCCGCCTACTTCTTGCCCAAAGTGCAGACCACTGAAATGCCGAAAGAATCTGCATCGGTTGACGAGGCCGAGCTCTCCTTCCTCTGCTCCTCCGTGAAGTTTTATCCCGCCCGAACTGACGTAAGTCGTTCCACTAATTTGCACTATTCATGGGCGACAAAAGACTTTAGAGCGTTTGATCGGTCTGCTGAATGCCGAACAACTGCGATTGAAATTTAATAAAGGGGGTGCATACAGTTACACAGACCAATTCAGATGGTTTTTCGACTACACCAGCTGTAAACCATATTCGAACTCCAAAGCTATGCGGGATGTTTTACTAACCCTGCTCATGGACTTCATGGACTACTCGCCCACGAGAAGAGAGGCTGGAAATGAGCTCTAAACAAATGCAGGTTCGCGCTGTCTGCGCAGTCGACTTTGACTGCTGAATTTACCGCCTGGAATGTTCGTTCACTTTTAGTTAACCCAATGACCAGTCGGCCAGCTGGTCACCCGCAAGCCAACCAGATACAATATTGACATTGGTACCCTTAGCGAGACCCCTTTCTCATTAAAAAGTTAACCCAATGAGGTGGAAGCAGGCTGAACCTGAAACGGCCGCCCATGGTAGAAATACCGAAATCTCAAGGTCCCCTTTATTACTTTATCAGGAAGCTACCGTACTTCCAACATGGGACCAATGATCAGCTCTTTGGTAAGAAATACTCGACGCTAATCAGCTCCTACTCTGCGATGATGCAAAATATCATTTTTGGGAGATTTCCAACCACTCCTTGTATTTATGTCAGAAGCGGACAAGGTGGTTTTTATTGACCATTCCAGTGCATGAGTAAGTACAGGCCACGCTATCTGGAAGGAGTGTTTGATCGCCATGAAATACATGGCTGCAACAACTATGGAAGCTGCTGCTGAAGCTCTGCAGAGAACAAAGTCTGCCCACCACTAACACGGTCTTGTCTCCCAGAGCGTTAAAGGACCGCTTGGATGCACTCTTACTAGTGTCACGGGTAAGTGGTAGACCACTTGCCCGTCAGGAGGCGAAACCACAGCAACGTACCTGTGGCGAGGACAGTGTGCGCTGCTGATCGTGAGACCTATCACCACCCAGTCGTCGCGAAAGTGCGACGGTGGATTTAAACCGGAAGACGACCTAAGGAGAAGACAACTCCGAGGAACCTGAACGCTGCAGCACTAGATCACGCCGAGCGCAGAAGAGATCTTGCTAGCCAAATAAATGTCAACCTGGAGGTCCTCGAGGATGAAGCCATCAGGCACATAGGACGTTATCCACAGTACTGTTGGAGAAGTCTTTGGTTGCGCACGTGGTGCTCCTTATCTGCTTTTGTCTCTGATGATGGATTCGAGCAGGAATCCAAAACGTCAGGCTAATAAAGCCCTTGTCCCGGCGATCGTGTCTTCTTGTTCAAGACAGACAACACCACGATAGGTTCCACGAAAATAACGAAGAAATCTGACGTCTGCTGTCTGAAAAGAACCATCCTCAATGGGCTCATATGGACAACTGCTCCACTGCAAAAAGTGCATTCTCCTATTGCTGGCGCCAATTTAACATAGGCTGCGGGAGCTGCAAAAATCCTGGCCGATTCACAGAGCAGGTGCATTTCAAAGGTACGAGGGCCGAGCCGCTGCACCATTCAGGCGGACCCACCCCTCTCTCGAAAGTAGCAGTTTCTGGAGCTTTGAACTAAGTACTTTAGTAAGGTCCCCGACCGTCAGTCTACAGACTGCAAGAAAATCATCAACAGACATCCTGAGGGGAAATTGATTGTTCGTCTTTCCAGCAGAAGACAATCAAGACAGTGCAACGGATATTTAATGACAAAGCCCTGGACATCGACTCGGCTTCAGCAGAAGCCTGCGAAGGTGGTGGCTCTCAGCCTCTTGACAAGCCAACTTCGTTATTTCGGGAGATGCACAGAGAAGCACACTTCACACAGGGCTTCAAAAACACAGTGGGAAATTGAAAACAACTCCTACACCACCTTAACAGACCGCCCAAAGGTCTTCGACACCTTGAACCGAGGCAGTCTAAGGAATGCCCTGAAATGTTAGCGCTGATAATCAGGAAACTTGATAACAGGGTGATGGTGCTCACTGCTGGCCAGTCGTTGGGACACCTGGAGTGAAGCGGATAGGCTTACTCGTTCCTCCTCAGTTTCATGTCTTATGCAGTGCTGATGGGCGATTGTCATGAGGAGTGTCTCGGAATCAACATAGAGTACCGAACTGACGGTCAGTTACCAAGCGCCCACCGTATGGAAGCAGTTACGAAGATCCCCTACTACATATATGACCTGTTTGTTTGCAACTGTTTACCGATCACCACATCTGAAGAAGGCATGCAGCGAAGTCTGATCTCTTTCACTCCCATATACGCCAACTCTGGGATAAATATAAACACCAAACCGAAGATTCTTGTGCATCGACTAGCACTCACCGGGGAATATTTGGAGCCCCTAATCGTCGACGTCAATCACCCTACCGCCACACCCGAATTCTGTCTTGGAAACACCATGTCAGCAATAATCAAGATCGGCAAGAAAATTGTAGCTCGGCCCTCGAAGACCAGCCAGTCATTCGCCGGGACATCTAATGAGCATCAAACGGAAGATGTTAACGGCCGGAGTCTTGACAGCAGTTCTCTCTGACGTGGTGACTTGACAGTTGGTCGTACACGGCTATATGTACCCTCCCCTTCTGCACTTAAGCGCAAAACAATATGTAGTAATGAGAGTGGTGGTAATGTAAGCCTTTTGGGAGAAGGGATGGTCTTATTAGATATATATAAAAACGTATCTGCGCTGAACGCGTGTTTTAATGCATCAAAACGACACTTTTAGGAGGACAGTTCACGGGAGGGTATACAGCGGAGCTCTACCGAGCAATTTATTAAAACCTGGCGCGAAAGCTCAGTCACTTACACGTGATCTGTCTTCTGAGACTTAGGAAGATGAAAGGAGGGGAACGAGTCCTGGATACCTGAGTCCCGGCAGCTTTGTAGTTCTGCCATAAACCCAGCTTTGATAGAACTCCAAACCGCTCCAGATTTCGAGCCTACTCGACCACAGACCACAGGACTCGACCCAACGACGAGTAGGTCATTCCGACTCGCCCACACCTGTGCCTTCTGCGGTTCTAGTATGGGATCCGGCCGGGGGGAGTGTTGCTCAATGCGGCAGTTTTGAAGTCTGAGTCATCGTACGTTGTTCCCAACTATTGATTTTCCTGCTTCTCT